TCCTTGGCATTACTGCATCTATCTCCTGAGGGAACATCTTCAGGATGTCTTTGTTTGTGGATCAGTCTTCAATCAGTTTCAAATTTCTTCATTCATCGTATGTCATTCTTCATGAATCATCTGAACACCTCTGGATCTCCCGATTTTGATTACATGGTTAAGAATTTCTTGTCTCATTATGACCAGCCTTCTTATTAGTCAATCACTTGCGAATTAACACCTTTGGATGACATGAAGATGCAAATGCAATAAATCTTAAAAATAAAATAGGCATAAAACAAAAAATGGGTTAATACTCATAAGATAAACAACAAGATAATAAGTATCAAAGTCATTAAATAAAACCTACCCTCACATGCTGGCTACCCAATCATGCTTTAGCAAATCCTACCCAACATGATATCTACCCCCATGCCTTGTCATTTGCAAAAAATCCTAACTGCATGATATCTAGTTCGCATGCATTTATTCGAAAAACGAAAATAAATGACACAAAAAGCTTTTCCTTGTGTACCCTCCTCACGGGACTCTTAAGGTTCGGGTTTGGTTCAACCTAAATTTGGGCTCTATGTTCACTATATGCTGAGTTCAGTTCTAAAGTAACAGGTTCTCGAATTGTCCTTGTCGGTGCCCCCTTGGGTTACTAAACCCTCAATCCTGGCCCATCACAGGCTTTAGGGGATCGAGTTCAATTTCGAGGGAACACACCTCCTTATGTCCATGCGGAGGTGAATACCATCATGAGGACCATAAGGCTTGAGCTCCAGGAGCAATCCACTATCCCATGCGGAGGTGAAAACCACACGAGGGCATAATCTCTCACTCTTACTTAATTAGGACGGAGCGGGGTTTTAGCTCATGTCATGAAAATGCAACTGTGCAGTGTGTGAGGAAAAACGAAAAAAAAAACAAAAACACTCAAAATCAATTCTTAAAACAAACAATTATTCTGAAATCATTAACAAACAGATTAGTACAACTATTTAATTATCAATCGAATTAAATTAAAGAAATCAAAATACAAACGAAACTTATTAAAAACCAAACAAGGGATCAAAAATTAAATTAAAACGAATTTGTAATTTTCAATTGCAAAGACAATTAATTAACCGACTATCGGCCTGACTCTCTAAAAAAAGGTCCCCAGTAGAGTCGCCAAGCTGTCGAAACGATTTTTTCTTTAAGGTGAAAAAAGTGAGATTTTGAAAACCACATTAATTTTTAATTTACCTCTTTCAATTGATTTTTAATTTAAAAACAAATGCGATTTAAAAAACCTCTCGTTTCGAAAAATTTTAGATTTCTTTTAGGAAAGAAAAAAAAACGGTTCGAAGAGTCGCCACTAATCCTTGATTAGGGTGTGATTGGGCACCCAAAAATGTTTATTATTTTAAATAAATTTTTTTTAATTGAAACAACAAATTAAGGTCTGCGTTACCAAAATCTGAGTTCGGGAGTCAATTACGTGCAGGGAAGGATTAGCACCCCCACAACGCCCTAAAACGGTACCTAGTCGATTAATTGGCGTCTTTGCAATGAACTTTACAAATTCGAATTCAATTTGATTTTTGATCCCATAAAACAAAGATGTAAATTTAAAAACATTCAAAAGCACTCAAATAAATTAAATTAAAATTACCGAGTCATTTTAGAAAGATAAAGAATGTTCAATTATTTACAAATATCGAGACTATATCTTAAAAGTTATAACAACCTTTTCTCGATAAATTTAAATAAACGAACATTTCTTTTTCTTCCATTCTCAAATTTTAAAATGATGGATCATTTTTTAGGTGTCATTGATGGGATACACTTTTAATTTAAAATTGTTAGAAACGGACCTCTAATCAGTTAAGACAGCCCGCTTAGAACGATTTAAAATTAAAAGTCTATTACCCTTAATCCAATTATGTAACATGTCGAGTTATGCAAATGAGGTTTTCATACATATTATACAAAACAGGTATCATGTAATTAACAATATTAATATACAAATAAAAAGGGCAACCATCGCATAGAATACATTATTCGCACAACTTACATATGTTTTTAGTAAAATAATATGATTTCACCCTTAATTATAACATACAATACATGCCCAATTAATATTTATAAAATAATAAATCGTGTTTACAAAATAATAAGTATAACTTAAATAGCCTATACGCATAGCATTGAAACATGGCATAATGAAATTACATGTATCCTATATATCTATACATAATGAAATAAAAATATACAACGTAATATGATACAAGTTGAATCTATGTACTCATAAATATTCTTATATACAAAGGAGTTAACTTAGATGCTTAAACAAGAAAAAGAGTGATTAAAACCCAATAATAACAAATTTAAGGGAAGTAACCAACATACTAAACAAATACATGCCATTTTAACATGAAGGATGAATAATTCAGACCCTAAGTTGCTAATAAACCACAAGCATGCATATGACTGAAATAAAAAAAAAACTCAAAACAACAGACCAAATACGTGAATAGTATGAAATGCAAACAAATAAACTAAGTGGACTAAAACCTAATTTACCCTAAAGCGTCAATGGCTAAAACTTAATTTACCCTAAAACATTTAATATAACCTAAATGAAAACTAACCTACACTAAACTCACCTATGTCGTTCCTCATTTCACTATTCCCTCTCTTCCACTCACGGTTAAAGCTTCGCCCAAGCATCCATCGTCGCTGTTCAAGCCACTCCAATAATCTCATGCAATTGATCGCTCTATCACTTCATTCGAGTCATTCGCCAAGAGTTGAAGTAGGTAATCGGAGGTGTGGTCGTTGGGTAGAATGACGAAAGGTTTTAAGGACTTGTAATTAATTTTAGGGGCTGTAATTTGGGACTTTCAATAGGAAAAGAAGGAGCTTTAAGTTCAGTTTGGTTGATTTGTTCGACCAACAATGATGATTGTCGGAGTTGGATTTGAAGCCAATGTACGAAGTCTAATGGGGCTCTCATGGGTATCGATCGAAAGAACTCATTCCTCTAACTTATTCTCTTATTAATCGTTTAATTGATTTGATTCCCAAGTCTGAACCTTATGATTCAATTTTCATTAGGAAATCAAGAGTGAAGAAGGTCATCAGAGTTGCTGCGATTAGCAACAAGATAGCCGATATACCCCCGATGATTACTCATGGCGAAAATATGGCCAGAAACCGGTCAAGGGTTCCCCTCATCCAAGGTTCATAAAGATTAGTACTTTGCTCATGCCGTCTTCAATCAACCGATCAAAACTTCTTACCATTTATGTTTTCTTGTGGGGTTCTTTTAATAGTTATTTCACATGTTACCTGTTTGACCAAATGCCCCAAAAACACAACAAATTCAAATCTGCATTTAACATCCTTTTGTTATCAACCGCAAGTGCCATTGACTTTTATGCCTACCGAGTGAATTCACTTGTAAAGGCTGTGCGAGCCGGCCTAACACGTTTTTCGGACAATTTACATGGGCTATTACAAGTGCAGCAGCGTCAGAGGTTATCCTGCAAGGAAACATGTAGAGCGAGCTCTAGATGATCCAACGATGCTGATTGTAACATATGAAGCAGATCACAATCATAGCCACAACATCAACGATGTGTCACCAGCTTTGATCCTCGAATCATCTTAGGTCCCCACCACTCATGCAACCGGCCATGGAAAAATATAATCGAAAATGGTCTCGAAACAAGGAGATTGGGTAGTTGCTCTTAAACAAAAGACGGTGCAGGATTCCGTATATTGGACATTATTTAGTTTAATAATGTTAACCTCAATCTCTTAACTCTCGAACGACAATTACTCAAGGAAACCAAGCGATCAATGACTCAACTAATCACCAAATGATGACTACGATGCAAATGGAAAACAAAACCGAGCAAGGTAAAGTAACTAACTCATATTTCCTGTATTTTACTTGTTTAGAAATAAAAGCAATCGTAGAAATCACCAGCTATTGAAATAAAGATAGAAAATACCAAATGAATTGTTCTTTGCTTGCTATTGCCTTCCCGAAAGACGAGGATCGAGCCTCTGTTACACTGCTTGATCTTTGACTATCGAAAGTGTTGTTTTTTTTGCTTCTCCCTTTCTCTTTCTCTTGTGTAAAAAATAAAAAATAAAAATCAGACCCCCACAATTTCCAGTAGTTAATCCCTTAAAACTGACCCATTTCCTCCACTTTGCCTTGGTTAACTCCCAATAACCGCCTTTTTAATTGTTTAGGATTTCACGTGGACTGGGCTTGATCATTGGATTGGGCCTCCAACTGCTCTGCTTCGGGTCTGCTCCGACTTAGCCCCGGACAAAAACGAGCATCTACAGACTCGGTCAAAGCTTAATAAATACTTGACTTGAATGGACTCAACTCGAGCGTCTCGAGTTCTTAATGAGTCGAAACGGGTTACTTGATACTCGATTCGAAAAGCTCGCGAGCAACTCGAAATATCATATATTAAGATCTTATTTTTAATAATAATAATAATAATAATAACATTTATGTGCTGATTTAAAACAATGTAATATATGATTTTCATATATTTAAGATTTAAGTTCGAATTTGAAAATTCAATCGAGTGAAGTTTAAAATGTTTTTTTTTCATTTTGTGCTTTTACAAACTTTTACGAGTTCAAATTCATGATTTTGAGTTCGAGCCAAACTTGAAAAATTTTAAGCTCGAGAGTTTTCGAGTTAAATCGAACTTTATTTTAGAGTTTTTGAGTTGAATCAAATTCAACAATACTCAAGTTCAACTCGACTTGCTTACGGACTTGTAGGAACTTGACGTTGAAATTTCTGATATGATTTGCAAAACGCACGCTCACAATACGTGAATTACAATTTTCAAGGAGAAAGGAAAAAAGCATACATGGAAAGATTGGGGTTGAAGAGAAATTGACAAAGCTCTAAAATTTAATCTTTTACAACTCGAGGGTATTTTATGCAAAAACACTTGCACAAATTCACCCTTTGAATTTAAAATCTTTCAAGAGCAAAACAAGATTTCGGCAGGCCAAGCTTGGACACATATAATTCTTATTATTCAAGATCAACCCGACCCGTTCCCATCTTTACCCACCAAATATCCCGAAGATTATTTACTGAAATGTGGTATTCAGTGTCTCCAACTACAAAAGCATCATTATCTTTGCAGTGTGTGTTTCAGGATTTGAGAAGTAAAACTCGGCTCATCCGTATCAGCCCCATCCTTCTTTACAGCTGCTCGTTCTTTCATGGCTTCCTTCTCCAGTTTCTTTTTCTCGGAATCAGCTAGCTTCTCATTCTCCTCCCGTGATTTCTTGAACATCTTAACGAAAACAACCAATATCTGAGTCACTGCAGAACAAACAATAAACTCGAGCAGTCGGTATTTGTTCCATTAGAAAAAGATCATATGAAAGGTTTCTGATTCGAAACGTAAATGTCAGAACGTGGAAAACCTTGTTCAAAAGGACATCGTGCCGGATCCTCTCCAAAGTACTGGGATAATGAATCAGCATTTCTTCCCTGCAGGACAACATAATTTCGACTAAACCACAACGCATGACAAGTTTAAACTATTGCATGAGCAACTACAAAACCGGGAAAGCACTTACCACTTCAGAATATAAGGAGATAAGTGACCTTACTTCAGCTTCAGCCGTATCAAGGAAATTCTTCAACACCTAGAACAAAGTAAACATTTAACACTAATTGCATAATGTAAAATAAGAGTTGTGAAGATAAAGAAATTTAGTATAATCTTCAGTCTTTTTTATTTACAAGATAAATTTTATTTCATGAAAGTCTTATACTGAATAATATCTAAAATAGAAATTTTAGAAACATGATAAGCACAGATATATGCTTTTGTTGATCAAAAGTTTTATCAGTCTTCATGCTTAGATACTATAATGCATATCATAAAAGATACTAATCATCTAAGAGTCAATGAAGCTCACTGCAAGATACATCTGCAAACAAATTTTCCCCAAAAGGTGCACTTGTTTGTTAAAAGGAAATCATAGTTAATTGATCCTTTGTTTGTTTCAACATCAAGCAAAATCCCTACATCTATAATGACAGGAAAAAGGGAACCGAGATTATTGCAAGAGAACTCAACACATTAGAAGGAAAAAGTAGAGTAGATAAATCTGTAGCAAAGTTAATGGATTAGATTCTTTGTTAAGCAACAATCTTTCCTCACCTTCTGAAAGCCCAAAGAGATATCACCATCATTATCTGAAGCAGTGAGTTCTTGCTCAACCTTTTCAAGACCCTTACTCACAGCTTGCATTTCTTCAGCGAGGTTTTTCAATTGAATCTAGCCAGATACATGAAAGCCAAACGGATTATAAAAATTAACAACTTTAAGAAGAAAAGATCCAAAAAACTAGAACTGTAAAGAGCGTACCTTAGAAGCAGCTTCTAAATGAACAAGATCTTTATCGAAATCCAGCAACTCTGGCATTTTCTCTGATAGAAGCTAACACATGCAAAAAAGAAAAAGAAAAAAGAGATGCACAATTTAGGACCTATGTAAAACATGCAGATGCCAGAAGGGATACTAGCACATTCCGAATTATTTAAAATGAAAAAAATCATGTTGGGCAAGGAGGTAAAATTTGTTAAGAGTAAGGTTACTATATGATTGAACCAAAGGAAAAAGAAATAACCAAAACAAACGGCTGTTTCCTTTCAAAAACGAGTTGTGCACCAAAAATTATTTATAGTGATGATTGACCATCCCAAACCCAAAGCACAACAACAACAATAATAATAGAGCATCTAACTTCTCACGTCATAGCCTACATGAAAACAAACACAAAATCACGTGAAACATGTGACATTAGGAACTAGTAAATATAAAATACACATTACCAAAGTATTAGAGAACTTTCCATAAGTCACCAAAATACTATTTGAAGGGCACAAAATTACAGCATCATTACCTCTGTCCCCATAAACAGAACAAGAAACCTTATTACCGATTCCCAATTCCCAGTGCATGTATAGAACTAAGAAGTCACTTTCATCATTCTTACCTTGCATAGATAATGCATTAAAGTCATCTTGTTGTTCCTTGCACGTGTATCAGATAATTTAAGGAGACTATCCAATTTGAATCCCACCGCAGATCCTGCAAATAGAAGTGAAATAATGATATGAAGAGGCATTATTAGAAAAACTGTTCATACTCCTAATCATGGACCACCTGGGTACCTCGTGCAGTGCCTTGATTCAATGCATTTCCCAATGTGAGAATTGTCTGCATTATCTGACGCAATTTCACAGATTCTTTTACCTGAAAATTAGTCTCTGAGATTTTAGATGCAAGAAGAAAAAAATACAGCATTTAGCACGCAAAATGAGCAATTATGCATCACGCATTTGAGATTTAGTTAAGTATAACAGTACCTCTGTAGTTGCATGATTAATGATGCTCAAGTTAGATCTTAAGTCATCCACCTGAAACAGGTGAGAATGAATATAGATTAATAATGAATTCAAGCATACAAGATTGAATATACAAATTATCCAGACAATACCTGAGAAGAAAATGTGATTCTAAATGCAAATACTCGTAATTTTGATTCTACTCGTGGAACCTTCATCAGCTCTAGGAAAAACTGAAAGATTTATCAATTATAGTATCAACAGCAGATCAAGCTAAGGGGTCTGAATTTGTTAAAGATGGATACTGGAACAGACCTGTTCACACTTCCCAAGCATTGCCTTGTCACCTGTATAATTCTACCAAAAAAAAAGTAGCAATTTTTTTTTACAATTACATCCTTTTAAGTTAAATAAAATGTTCAAATGAGGGCTATCTAATAAAAGTCGTAAAAGGGAATTCCTTCCTCTAGATCATCCCTATTTAAGGAATTTAAAGAAAAGGGCGATTCCAAACTTCAGAGGTTCTAAAGGAATCTTCCCTCAGATCATCCCTATTTTCCAAGATGGGAGAAGGCACCAGTCCTTCTTATCCCTTCCCCTTTCTTCCCCTCACTCCTACCAGAACATAAGTTAAATGGAAGTGTTCTTTCCTTTCTTGTCTGGTATGGGGTTGAAATCAAACTATAACTGAATCCTTACCATGCTTGCAAATTAGTTTGGGATGTAGTCTTATTCATAACTAATAAGAAAAATATTTGGACATTTAAATGATCCTCCTAAAACTGGAAAGGTTCAGTCAGGACTTTGAACATATAAAAATGCAAAAGGCAGCTTTAAATCTTCCATAAAGAGGTCTACTGCCTTTTAAACCTTAAGAGAATGGGGGCAATACAACTGTCCAATGTTGATATGTGAATTCCCATGTCAAATAATTTTCATTGTATAGAAGGTAACATGCTATTTCCTAGGTGATAACATGTAAAGAGTTCTTTCTAAAAACAGTTTCATTTAAATAACATAGTAAATAGACTGGAAAACATAGCATTTGGAAACATATACAATCAAATGTTACAGCATATATATATTACCTTAAGCAGTTCCATTTCTTCTTTAGTGGGACAAAATTTAATCAGATTCTCCACCTGATCAATATCAAGAGCCGAAGAATCCAATGCTAGTATGGCAGACTGAAAATAAAGGGCACAATGTTTAGGGCAACCAACTTTACAAGTTAAAGCAAAACAGAAAGCTGAAAATGTCATGTCATGATAAAATTTTAACCAAGCTGGCACGACAATAGAAAGAACCTACAGAAGGAATCAATAGTTATAGGGAAGAAAAGAAAATCCAGTATCAAAGTTTGGTTGTGGTTTAAATGGAAATGAAAACCTATAAAGCAAGATGAGCTGAGCCACAGAAAAGAGTAAATAGTTTATTAATGATATATGGCAGATCCGGTAAAGTCAACTGTCACTCCTGCATAAATAGCCAGAAGGTTTAACTAATACAAACAAAATCAAACCTTACCCTCAATTATGAAAGCATTCCATAAGAAAATTTTCAAATCTATCCGTGTTACACAATGAATTCAATATAATATTGGTATACAATCTTTTTTAACAGCTATAGGAAGTGCAACGAAGTTTCCAAAGCTGGTATTCGTATATAGTATACAATTTCACAATCCAAATTAACATGAATCATATCATTTAAACTTCTTATTGTATCAAACACATTTTTAGACCCAGGCAAAAATATTCACCTTTCAACATTACCAAAGATCCATAACAAAGCACTGAAACGTTTCTCTAAAGAAGTACATCACATCATAGACCCGCATCCAATGGCCTTTAGCAGATAGAGTTCCAATGAAAAGATCATGTGCTATAGGTGAGCAATAAGATGTCTGAATATTAATAAAATCTAAATTTATGATTGCTGCCAGTTGAAAATAGAAAAATTAAACTGAGGACCCTGAGGAGTACCCATTTTGATATCAAATCATAGAAAACGCAGCATAATCAAGGATTCCAGTTTCCAGAAATCAGGTTGACAGGAAAAGCTTTATGCACATAATTTAAACCATCAAAAACTAAGGTAGTATTTTCAACGAATATTATATGAAAAAAAAAATCAAATAAAAGACATCAGATATGATATACTATAAAAAATATAACATCAAAGAAAAAATTGAAGGGAGGGGGCATGGGGGTAAATCTCTAACATTCCAACATCATTTCAATTATAAACTAAAATAAAACCCAAGGAAAAAAAATAACTTTTTAGCACATAAAATTTAGCAGGCAAGCAAAGAATAACTTACAAGCATATCGGGCAGAGGGATTTTTATTTTTGTGAGCATTATTTCACAATTATATGCTCTGCGCAAATCAACCTGACAAAGATAAAACAAGTGCCACATACACAAATTAAGGGAAAAGAAATTTAATGTTCTTAAAGTGCATATAAAAGAAATTATATGATGAAAGAAGGAATTAGATGACTACATGCATCACTTGGTGAATTCGCAATAGATGGTCAAGTTCAAAGTTAATAAAGCATATAATGATGCATCACTAGCAATAAAGGATCTTTACAAACTTAAATATTCATCATAGAAGAGTAGTTGTATTATAGACGAACCAAAAGGGTTTCAGAACTGCTCTTATACTATTTTATTAAGGTTGTATATATGTAATTTGCAACAAAAGGGCATTCTTTTTTATTTTATAACAGAACAGCACTGTAACGGTATAATAATAATAATAATAATAATATAATACAACAGTGATACACTACTCCTGATGACTCATATCAGTCATGCAACTAGACCAATATGAAATTCATGCTGCTGACATAAAAATTAATAACAAAAATGTAGCATGATAAAGGCGAGCTTTGTATGCTAAAAGCATAATGACTATTTTTCATGATTGTGCCATTTACCTAGAGGAATCACAAATTAGAAGACTGCCACTGATATTCTCTTAATGCTTACTCCATAAACTTATTGCTGTATATAATTGACAAGGCAATTACTGAACTATAAACTTAACCTTTCTGGAGAAACTAGATGATCAATTACGAAGTTCGATTCTGCTCGTTATTCAGGGAAAGAAACACCATATCACATTCCTCATTCATTTCTTTAGTGTTTTAATCAAGCCAATTAGGATCACATAACTGGGCTTTTCCTACTATAATGGATGTCGTAAAAATTTTAAGCCATAATTAACACATAACTGATTCAGCATTATTCATTTCATACAAAAAGGTCGTATGGAATTTTAGCAGGAAGACAATAGTTTCTTTATTAATCGAGAGTCTGAAGAAAGAAAGAAAAAATCTTACTAATTGCACTTTCTCAGGTTTGTTGATGTTAGAACCACGTCGGCCAAGTTTGTTAGTACTACTCCCATTTGAAACAGAGGCTGCTGAGAATAAACTTTCAAGTTCGGACATATCAATTTCAGGGGCCCTACACCAAAAGGAATAGATCTATAGGGTTAAAAGCAATCATATTCCCATATTAGAGGGAAAAGTAATCCAAGTAAAACTAAAGATAAATAAAAGGGGAAACAGAACAGAGAACAGATTGACCAAGAATTCATGCCTCTCTTTCTTTTTCTTATCCTTTCTTTTCTTTTTTTTCTTTTCTTTTTTGTGCGTATAGATTGCGACCACATAACAAGATAGAAAGTGATGACATTTAACATTAAGACAACATAATGCTTTTTGAAATATATTCTGGTGAAAGCCAAACAAAATGCAACTAACGACTAACAAAATGTTTGGTCCACGATCCAGTCCAGGTTGTGCAATCTACCATATCTTTCTAAAACCTTTTGGCAGTTATAAAAATTATGATGTAATTTGGTACTGATATAAGATCATGTATGCACTCACCTTGATTGATTATCCTGTTTTTGAGAATCAGCCCATAGACTCCCTTGCATTGCTCGAGTGACTTTGACCCAATGTAATGGCTTCAACGAGTTTTTCTTCGGGGTATTACTCGCAGCAAGTACACGGCCTCTTCCATGACCTGTCTGTCCCAAAGGCTTCCCCCTACCACTAGATGGAGGTGGTGGCGGCGGCACATTGGACACCTTTGCACCTGGCAGCCGTGTGCCTGGTAGTGGAGGGGGCACAGCAGGGGCTTTAGGTGCAGGGGGTGGAGGAGGAACAGAACCTGACCCTGCAGGTCCTACAAGTGGCGGAGGTGGCCGAGGGACATTAGTATTATGGCCTTGAATAGGTGGAGCAGGTCCTCTGTGAGAGGAATTAGTAGTAGAGGTTGCCATTGGAGGTGGTGGCGGTGGCGGTGGTGGAGTAGGTCCCTTGTGAGAGGAACTAGCAATAGAGGTTGCCATTGGAGGTGGTGGTGGTGGAGGCGGTGGAGCAGGCCCCCTTTGAGAGGAACTACCAGTAGAGGTTGCCATTGGAGGCGGAGGCGGCGGTGGCGGCGGAGTAGGTAACCTATGAGAGGAACTAGTAGTAGAGATTGCCCTTGGAGGAGCAGGAGGTGGTGGTGGAGGTGGTTGGTATAGTGCTTTCTTGTTGGATTTGCTTCCCGACGACAGTGGATGCAAGGGTGGGGGTAGGGGCGGAGGCAAGGGTGGCAGCATGGGTGGTGATAACAATTGAGAGGAAAGTGCAGGAGGGGGTAGGGTTGGTCGCAGCTCTTTGTAAGTGTTGAAAGGGGGGAGGGGGGGAGGGGGAGGAGGAGGAGGAGGAGGAGGGCCGCTGTTGATACCTTCAAGTGATGTTGAAAACACTCTACCAGATAAACTATGAGACGGAGGTGGTGGAGGTGGTGGAGGACCTCTTTCAGTAGTGGCAGGCAAAGGTATCGCAGAGTTCCCTTTAGACAAACTAGGAAAAGTAGGGGGCGGGGGTGGGGGTGGCGGTGGGGATGACTTAGGTCTAATGGTCTTGACAGATGAAGGTAGATGCAGTGGAGGCGGCGGCGGTGGTGGTGGTTCATGATGTGTACATCCTAAAGAGAGATTTTCACTAGGTATTAAAGGTGGTTCTGGAGGTGTGGGTACAAGAGGTCGTGAAGGTTCCATCGGAGAAGATAAATGAGACGGTATTCCTGAACTTGAAACTATCTGAACAGTTTCAACTGATGCGTGATCTAAATCTTGTAAACTATCATTCTCTGAATGCAAGGGAACTGTATCAACAATGTCTGGCAGGAGAGATCTTGTTGGATCCACCAAAGGCTTGTTGATCACATCAAATGCTTCATCCGAACTATCAGCAGTGCTAGATGCATTGTTTTCCTCCTCAGAATCAGCAGGAGATGCGTATAAATTTCCTTTATTCTGCAATCTGGACAATTCCTTCACATCACTCAAGACTGAAAGTTGTTTAAGTAGCCACAAGGCAGCATCATCACTGTTATCAACCCACTCAACACCACTAAAGAGTTCTTGAACACGAGAAAAAGCTTCAATAGGTAATCCCCCTTTCTCCTCACCGTTTAAAACTGTTATAGGAGCCTTAGGAGGGGAGGAATTTTCAACCTTCCCAAACAAAACCTGGATTTAGAAGTTTATTGAATTAGAGATTCAAATGTTAGTGGCTAAGAAAGCGAATTGCTTAATACCACTGCCCTTATCTCTTCTTTCTATTGATGTATCCAAAATCCTAATAGATGGTCAAAAAGATATTTACCTCTGCTCGGAAGCCTTTTGGAAACCGCACCTTTGAGTCCCAAAGAATATCCAAGTTCTCAGAGTTCAGCATCAATATATTGGATCGAATAAATGCAGTGTTGAACATTACGCGAAACATCATAACTTCCCTTTCAGGATCTAGATCCAAATGGACACACTCCAATACAACATCGCCTTGCACCGAACATTGGATATCAATTTTAATCACGTCACAGTCAGACTGCAACAAGAAGCCATCCATTTTTGATAAGTTAACAGGACATACATAAATTAACACAAATTGTTGGGGAAAAGAGGACTTTTACCTGACGATAATGTCGAAGCACCTTCCTTTTCTTGGACATCGAGAAAAGCATTTGTTTGGATAGGCCATCTCGGTTATGAAGATCCCTACCAAAAATGCGAATAATTGGCCTGCACCCATTTTGGGCATCAAAGCTCGGAATGGCTCGAAGAATGATACAATCCAAAGAAAGAGCACGCTCGGGAGGAGGCCATTCAGTAGCTATATTCCTTCGTGCTACGTACTGAAGGTAACGAAGCTGAGAAGGGAAGGGATTTAAAGGTGAAAGGAGCTGCAAGAAACCTTTGGGAGCCTCTCTATGAACAATTTCAAGAGTCTTACGCTCTCCGCTGTGCAGCTTTTTAAAAATCAAGAAACTAGCTAACAGAAATGCCAAAAGTGGCCAGCCTCCTCTTTCACAATGTAGAAGAATAACGTTCTGGTGATTCCCAACTGAAAGCCAACTTTCACAAACACGAAGAAAATGTTGAATTAGAGACAATGGGAGCAGGGGACAACCCTCATATTGTCGTGGATAATCCAACACAGTAACATCAAATTGACATAAAATTTCGGCAAAACTACTTGGTTTTTCACCCTCACGAAAATTGAAAGCCAGAAATGACGATTCGGGGAATTCTTCATGTAACTCGGTCACAATTTCGTGCAGGTATACTTGGTACATACCGTCGGGCAAGACTTCAGTGGAGAAGCACGAATCGAAAACTGCAATAATTTAAATCGAATCAGTTCAGAAATGAGGGGAAAACAAAGAAGCTAAGAATGGAACAAGTTGAGGTTAAAGAGTTGGAGAAACTACCATATACTCTTTCGACAAATTCAAGCAATCCATCCGGGGGTCTCCTATAAAAAAATCTACTCAGAAGGGTCATCTCTGCCGCTCCAATTTCACCCAATGAGCTAAGAACCCTGACAACAACAAGCCACCATATCGTTTCAATTTGTTGCCACGTGCTTGCGATTTTACAGAGAAAAAACAAAGGCGAAATAAAAGGAAAAGAAAAAACATAAGCAATTATATAAAAATAAACAATCGTGAAGAGTAGAGACACACTCAAAGGCATTGATTTGAAATGATAAAGCGAACTAATGATTCCTAATAACAAATAATAGGAGGAAAATAGTTATGGGTTGATCTCGGGAACACAAACCAGTAATTACAGGAAAAGCAGAGACGTTTGAGATTTGGTGAAAGCAAGTTCCGGCTCCCTCTACTTCTGCCTTTTGATTTTCAAATCTTACTAGTCTTCTTCCATTTTTGAACTTCAAATATTTGGTTTTTTTTCTTTCTATTTCCTTTTTTATTTTCCAATAAGTTAACAGTCACGTAATTACAAATCTATCCTATCCACGTTCCCCCGTGTATTTGCCTGTTGTATAGAGCCCTTTACAGGGACGAGTTAAAACTAAATATTGAAAGGGATTAAATATTAGATTATTTAATAAAATATAAAAATTTATTATGTATTTAAATTTGAAATTTAGTATGAAGCAAGCGACCTTAGTGATTAAGAGATTGATGTTATTCTTGAGGTCCCGAGTTCAAGCACATATGTAGGGGTATGAGCGTTCATTGTCAAATAGTTAAAAGTTTTTGTACATATATTACCTTGTATTCATCTTAAATTTAAAAAAAAAAACTCAAAATTCAAGAGAAAACTTTTAATGTATCTAATATTTAAACTTACAATGACTTAAATTGTAACTAGACCAAAAATTTAAGAACACATACTTATCATTTTTTAGTTCAACCCCTACTTGATTAAATATTTAATAAATTTTTATATTTTTTAAATTTAAGTATTTATTTTTACATGAACCAAAATACTATTAAACCAAAATTATATTAAATATATAAATTGTAACTATGGTCGGGAGCCCCTTCGGTCCTAAGAGAACTCCGAGAGCTTCGTCCCTGACTACTAGTATATATTTATGAGCATAATTGAACAACAAATATTTATCAGAATAAATGAATTGTTGTTATTCATTAAAGTCTTAAATTCGAGTATCAGAAATATGAGCGTTTAATATCAAATAATTAAAAATTATATTTAAACAAATATTGTTTTCTACTTACCTCATACTAATAAAAAAAATATTTATCAAAGAAGTTTAAAATTTTGAGATAATTCATATTTTAAGTAAGGGAAGTTTAAAATTTTTCCAAAATATATGGATCAATTCTAATATATAAAATAACTAATCAATCCATTAATAAATATTTGTGTAATTGAGAATCATATATCGCGGGGACACTAGTATTGTCTCAAACTTACTCTCGAGAGGTTATGAATTTTGTTTATAAAAAAATATTTTTTTATAGAATTCATTAATTTTATTAAAAAGATGAAATATTTATAATTATATTAAATATTTATAATTATAATCAAGAACTAGATATATATAATAAGAATATTTTTTATAATTATTAACGCAAGAAATTAACCACCTAATATCGCACAAGGACCATACAAAGAAAATGTTAAAAAATATAATAAAAAAATTGAACAAATGATAGATACGAATAGATCTGACTAGGTCGACAAATAAACAACAAAAAGAATTAAGATATTGAAAGATCATCGACAAATCGTGAGTTAAAGTCGAGCGACGTGAGAAAACTATCCATGAACGCAAATCGTGTATCCAAATTCAATCTGAGAATTCAAACCATGGAAGAACAGTGTGATAACAAATAAGTGATATATTGATCAGTCATGGCGATATCAAACTCAACCCTATAAAAAATATAAACGAAATCAAAGATCAAACGATAAAAAATGTGTTAGAAAGATAAAATTATTAAAAACTAAATAATAAATGAAAACAAAAAATATGGTATAAAAAATAAATAATTAACAAAAAATATATTGACGATGAAGATCAATACTAAAATTGATATCACCACCTATCAAACTAAAGATAAAGAAAGGGATCAAAGTTTCAAAGAAAAGAGGTTAATCTATCACAAATATATTTAATAAGTCTACACTTTCAACCTAATGATCTTCTATGTTATTCTCTAACTCAAAGATGTTAGAAGAGTAAACTTTAATCTCAAAATTATGAACACAATAAAATTCTAAAATTTATTAATTTATTCGGATTATTTGTTAGGGAAAATGATTTAATTCGAGAAGAATTCACGGGATTTACACTTCTTCCAATGAGAAGGCTATCTCATCTATACAAGAATATTCCCTCTTTATTATTATAAAAAAGATTATCAATCGAATATAAATTGGATGTCGATAATTGCATAAAATAATGTACTATTTAAAGAGACACACATTCCCATTATTTGTACTAAAATAAAAGAATGAATTAATTATTACCTTTTTAATCGATGTAAAATTGAGTTATTTCAAGTTCACTTTCGTTCGAATGTTGTATCGGATTGCATTACTTCTATCAAGTAGTGATTTCCACGCCCATTCTACGATAAGTGTTCTTGAAAATATTCGAGCAAGAGACATTGAAAATAGTGGCAAATAAAATGAATGTTTTGTAAATTTTTCAAAAATATTAGTTCTAAAAAAGGGGAAAATATGTACATTAATATATAAGGGTCAAAATATATTAAATAAACATATGCAAAAATAGCAAGTCAAAATTAAAAGAAAGAAAATTGTCAAACATGGATTAGATCAAATACAAATATAAATGAGTAATCGAACATCAAATAAATATAATAATCAAATACAAATTTATCTTAGGACTAAATCGATAGGAAATAAAAAACATGTTCAAATTGAAGAAGATAAATAAATATCTACAACTAACAAAGGACCAAAATATAAGTCAACCAAAAATCGAAGCACAAATCATAAATATTAACAATTACAATAATGAACTAACTAGGGCCAAAATCGAAAGAAAAAAATACTAAGTTCAAAATAAAAAAACTTGAAAATATATGAGTAAATGTTGAAAATTACTATTAAATATAAGGACATTTTAAATAAATATATACATATGGTGCATACACATAAAATACATAAAGAATATGAGACATACACATATATTAAAATACAAGGACCAAAATGAAATATATGTATAATAAGGTACCAAAATTAAAGAAAAAAAGCTATCATGTGATTAATAATGAAGTCAAGTGACCAAGAAAGCAATTTTCCCAATAAATGAAATATGGTATAAAAATTAAAACACATACACATTTGTTACCATAAATAAAAAGTAGAGAGGAAGGAGTGTTGCAGTGTTCCACCGGGAAAGAGAGGATCCTTGTTCGCTGTCGTTCTCCGGTGGCCGTTCGTCGTCAAACTTTAAGGGTAGGTCTTCTAGACACCTGTTTTTGTCCAGGTTTTAATTACGTTATTATTATTATTGTTATTAACAAGATTTGTTTACATTTTGTAGGCACGAAACTGAAGCCCAAGATACAAATCACCCCAGCCAGCCCAAATTTCAACCCGACCCATATACAAGACCCGACCCAACATCAGACCCGATCTAGACCCGACACATTTGTTCAGTCCAAGCCCAAGAGTTAAGCCCGTTTGTGAGCCCATGACCCGGTTGGGTTTCTCCACCCGGTTGATTGACCCAATTGTAGCTTCCACCACCAACCCAACTGATGACCATGCCCTGCTCCACAACACCCCCACGCCTCACCCATGCCCTGTGCAGCCATGTTTCTCAGCAACTTTAGTCACCAAACATCCAACAACCGAAACAACATCTTTTTTTATTTTTTACGCATGTAATGGGGGATAAAACCCCCAAATTAGTGTAAAAAGGGGAACCCCCGATTTCTTCGGTTCTAAAAAAACATATTGTAAACTCTCATTCCCCTTTACTTTTTCATTGGAAATAGACAACCAAAAGCATTTCAAGGCATTTTCACGTTTTATGCATATTTTTCAGCAACCAATTCTTATTTTCCAAGTAAAAAAAGAGAGAATATAAATAGTTAGTTTACCTTACCTGGTTCGAGCTTCCCATTGGAGGGACTCGTTTGTCGTATGAATGAGGTGGCCGAAGGGTTGGAGGCGTTTGGCCGTGTAGAGTGAGGTTTTATCTAGGTTCCATAGGTTTTATTTTCGGGTTAGGATAGAAAAGAGAGAGTTTGGTTTGGTTTTAAGTCGGGTTAGGGTCAATTAGCCACTTTGAATGTCGTTTAGCCTTCCTTGGTTGCGGTAGGGGGTAGTTGTGGTTAGAGTGGCTACCAATGAGCGGTGGTCGGTGTTGCTGTTGGTCTTTAAGGGTGTCGCCGATCGCACGAGGAATATAGGAGAGAGGGAGAGCACTTTTAAAAAAAATAAGGGTGTTAATTTAGGTTAGTTTAAGTTTTAGATTATTATATATTAGATTTAGGGTTAATTACCTACTAGACTCCTCTAGTTTAGCCGAATATTTCCATTTTAGTCACTAGTTTTCGGGTCAAATCACCATATTGGTCCTCTTAACTTAGCCGAGTTTCTGCATTTTAGTCACTAATTTTAGTGTAAAATCCCTATTAAGTCACTCTAACTTAGGCATATTTTTACAAAGTAGACACCATCACATCCTTTTTTATTTATTTCAATTTTGGCTCTTTATCTTGCCTTTTATTTAATGTTGGTCATTTATGCATTTATTTTTAGTACGAATTTAATGCCCATGTTTATATTATTTCAATTTAGTCACTTATTTGCTATGTTATTTCTTTGAAATTTGCCACTGATCTTTTTATCATTTTGTTTTAGTCACTAATTAGTTTTGTCATCTTTATTTATTCATGAATTTGGTGTTATACTTTCAATTTATGCATTTTAGTCACTGTTTATTTATGATTTATCTATTGTTCTTTCAATTTATGCATTTTATGCATTGTTTATTTATGATTTATCTATTGTTCTTTTATTTTATGCATTCTAGTCACTGTTTATTTCTGATTTAGCTAGTGATCTTTTATTTCATGTATTTTATTCACTTCTTATTTATAATTTGTTTGCTATTATTTTATTTATGGCATAATTTGGTCCATGTTACTTTTATTTTTACCATATGAGTATGTTTATGTATGTTTATTATTATTACTCTTATTATTATTTGGTCTTTGTGGTTTGTATATATTATATCATATTATTCATATATGTGTGTATATATTTACTTAATATTCCTTAACCCTTGTATATTTATATATATTACTAATGTTTATTTTATTTTGTTTGATCTTATTTAATTATTTCATTTATAAAATGTCCAATTATCAATATTTTTACTTAATGATAACATATTTTGA